GAAGAACAGTTTAGATCTGATAGAGCTATCCAGTATAAATAAAGTTAGTTTAGTTTAGGTTTCCTCCTGTAGTATTAACACTGGATCAATAAGGAATGATTCTTACTGGACCTTTAGGAAGAACAGTTTAGAACTGATAGAGCTATCCAGTATAAATAAAGTTAGTTTAGTTTAGGTTTCCTCCTGTAGTAACACTGGATCAATATGAGATGATCCTTACTGGACCTCTAGGAAGAACAGTTTAGAACTGATAGAGCTATCCAGTATAAATAAAGTTAGTTTAGTTTAGGTTTCCTCCTGTAGTAACACTGGATCAATAAGAGATTATCCTTACTGGACTTCTAGGGAGAACAGTTTTGAACTGATAGAGCTATCCAGTATAAATAAAGTTAGTTTAGTTTAGGTTTCCTCCTTGAATCAATAAGAGATTATCCTTACTGGACTTATAGAGCTATCCAGTATTACTGATTAAGTTAGTTTAGTTATGAATGTATTACCCCTCACCTGTTTATATGGGATGAAATATAACCAGCTTCCTTTTCCTCGTCCACAGCGTCATCACTACTGTCCGGCTTCTTCATCAATTCCACGCACAGAGCAAGACAGCAGGTCAGGGTTAGCAGCACGAAAAGCAAAGCTAGAATGGTCCCCGTTCTCACAATATAATTTTCTGAGTCTTGTGGCTCGTCACCTCGTTCCACAACCCATCGAATTACGTGTTTTGTGACATTTTTCACCGAGTGAATTGTGTTATTACTAGGCATTGCGATCTATCTATTATATAATGATATTCTCCGAAACTTTTTGAGGCTTTTTATGTTCTTTTGAACGCTTTGGCTTAATTTAGTTAGCTACTGTCTAAACGTCTTAAAGTCGATGCTACACTATAGTCTGAAGCTTACTCGACAGGCATCTGTTGTAACTAAATGCCTCGGTGAAAATCGGTCGAAACTATATAGTATTCGTTCTTAACGCCTACGTTTAATAATGTATTAATGGGCATGTAAATCACTAAATATCACTCTTTTTAATTAAATAGAACGAATATTAACGAATCATCAAAAATATTATTAAGACTGTATTGTTTCAGAAATCCTCACGGCCGGTCTTTCAATAAAACTATCGCAAAAATTTCGGGTTGGAAAGATGAATATTATGGATAGTAGATATACAGAGTATGTGAAGACGAAATAAATCTTTTACTGTATAAGGCCCAAAGACAAATTTTCCTTCGTCGGAAAAAATTTTGAAGTTGAAAATTTTCAACTAATTTTAACATTGATATTTTCGGAAAATTTTCTGTCCGTGAAATTTTTTTTAAGTGGAAATGGACTTTTACCCTTTAGTCTTCTATATATTGCAGTATTTAATTAATTAAATAAGAACATTTTCGGCATATACATATACATACACACACTGATATATACTATATAGACTTTACTTTTTCGATCACGCTGGCCTTAGCTAACGTTACAACTTTTCGGCTGATAGAACTCGATAGAATTAATCGGTTGACGTGTTTCGTAGGGTCGTCGACTACAGAATCAGGCCCTCTGGCTAGAGGCCCCCGAACCGGGGGGGGGGGGACAGGTGCCGCCACTTTTTGTGCCGAAGAAAAAGTGTGCTCTTTTTGTGGAATAAAAGTGCCCTTTTTTCAGCAATTAAAGATGAATTATACTGAAATGCCGCTTTAAGCTAAGACATGGGTTTTCAACTTGGGGGACATGTCCCCGAGAGGGGACATTTGGCAAATTCCTAGGGGACACAAACTGGTCTAGGACTGAGAAAACAATAGTTGAATACAATAGTTGAATACAATAGTTTGTACTATAAACATGTTTGCTTGACTTTCTATCTATTATTTAAAATTTAAATCATTTACTATTTTACTAACTATTTTGAAATTCGTGTTTTTGATAGACTTCAATGGGCAATTTCTGTTCAGGGGACGTGGTAATTCAATCATGTGAAATCGGGGACACATGAGAAAACCAGTTGAAAACCGTTGAGCTAAGAAGTCTACAAATTCCCTGTCTTCATATTAAGGTTGTTATGCGCGTAAAACAAGGACAGAACTAAAGCCTGTTTTCCACTAGGCGGAATTTTGCGCGCGGAGCGGAATTTTTCTTTATCTCGGTGTTTTCTCGGGTGCATGGAACTAATTAGAAAAGACAAAGAAAAATTCCACTCCGCGTGCAAAATTCCGCCTAGTGGAAAACCGGCTTAATGAACTGCACTTAAGTTTGATTGCTAAATACTTTGTTATCAAAAACGAACGGAGACGTTTTGGCAATTTTGAATGAAATTGCATTTTTTAGTTAATAAAAAAAATGTAAAAAATTTAAATTTGTGGTTAATGTGTCCATGTTCAGTTCATTTAGGACGCAGAGCTATTAGAGAATATGTATCACATCCGAGGCTGTATATTGCATGCGTATACTGCATGCGTATATTACATACGACCAACAATCATGTTTTTCAATCATGAATAATCAAAAGAATTCATGTAATCAGCCAATGCATACAAATTTACACTCGAACTTGGTAAAATTAATTTGAACGGTTTCAAATAACAAGCAGTTTCAAAATTTAACTTTCTCATGTCCATAAATACAAGAAGGCATGAATTGGTATTATATTATATTATATTATATTATATTATATTATATTATATTATATTATATTATATTATATTATATTATATTATATTATATTATATTATATTATATTATATTATATTATATTATATTATATTATATTATATTATATTATACATTGTAGTCACTATAATAT